TATCTTCCACAGAGATAAGAAAGAAACAGAGGAATTAAACCTACATTTAATCAGCTACAAAAACCACCAGGCTGAGCTTTCTCTGTGGTTCTTAGCTGCTCCTTTGCACAGCTAGACTGGCTGTGGTTTGGTAGGGGGTGAATTTAAGCTGTAATTATCTTTGCTTCAACACCTTTCCCCTGGCTGCAGCTTCAGCAAGAGTTACACAAGACCAAAGTCCTACACAGCAAGTCAATATTTAACTTAAGCACTGTGCTGTTGAGACCCACCCAGAGTACTTGATAAAGTAGCTTATTAAATCTTTCACTATCTTTTCTATCACAGAATAATAAAGGGCAATTTGTCTTCTTTATGAGACGTTGTAAAGATTAATTCTACAAGGACAGCAGTCAGATTCAGCTTTAACAATTTTAATAAGAGACTCGAAAGAAAACACTTCCATGAAAGGAGATCTAAACAATATGATGTGAACAGCCCAGAACAGGTTCAAGGCAGGGGCAGGAGCCACAGTGCAAAAATCATGTCAGACTAAGCCACACAGAGTTCTGGAAACTCAGCACTTTCTCAAGAAGCAGTATTTTAACACTGCAATTAAGCCATTAAATTATGTCACAGAGGCTTATACAAAACTCTGGGACATTACAAGGAGAAGTACTTATTCTTCACTTAATATCTGAATAAAATCTATGAGCTACTACACTAACAAAGACGTCTAAATCATACAATAAACAAAAGACTGATTTTTTTTTCCAGCTGATTGTTCTAAGTGAAGCTAAAAAATTGTTTGTGTACCAAAGCCATTCTCTGCATGTCTCAGATGTAGAATTTTGCTAATAGTCTCATCTTCAATCACCTTTCTGGACAGAGATCTTTCTAATATCAGAAGAGCTGCTAAAATACAGTTCAGACCAGAACTGAGCAAATGAGAGATTTCTTGTTTACTACACCTGTCTCAGCTCTTTATCCGCCTGTTTTCTGTGTCTGAAAGTGAATTCTGTATTTCTTGTTAGTGCTCCCAGCTTTACATTCAGCAAAAGCCACTTTTCTCTCCTAAAACTCAATTTCTATTTAAACAATTATTCCCATGGAGTGGTAACCACCAGAGGTAAATTACTAAAAATTACCTAGTTCTACATTTCTATCCCCTCACAAGTGCCAGTTTGGTCACCACCCACAAATAAACTTTTTCAGGGAACAAAATAAAAGTATTTCTCCTGTGAAAGAGTGCAGGGAGGGGGTGCTGAGAGCACGAACCACACCAAGAACTGACAGACACTACTGCTCAGCTTTCACCTAAAAAGATGCCAAACCCAAACAGAACAACGAGGGGAAAAAAAAACCCACCAAAAGTCAAACCAGGCCAGGCTCACCTGTCCGGGGAAGTGCAGCCTCAGGGAATGCTTTTACGAGCAGCTGAACTGATGTTGATCCCTGCCACTCCCTGCTCCACACGCCGGCGGGTCCAGCCTCCCTGCTCCACCAGCTCCCCCTGCTCATCCCGGGAGGCTCTGCGGGATGAATCCAGCGGGACACACACACAGGGACACCCGCACGCCAGCAGAAGGGCTGGAAAAGGGGTGCAGGGGCCTCTCCTTCCAGCAGCAACGTCACCTTAAGTCTGCTCTCCTGAAATTCCACACTTGCTGATACACACAGTGACCAGGAAAAGGGAGCCTTTCACATCCCAAATATGGAGCAATCAGACCAGGACTCCACTTCAGAATGAATGCAGAAAGTACTTACTTTTTCACCCTCCTGGGAGAAGGAGGTGGGTGTGTTAAGACCAGCCAAGCTCTGAACTAGTAAAACTCGAGTATAAAAGAATTGCAGGCAACACCACAGCAAGGACTCTGTCGTTTGTGGGCAAAATTCCCACAAAGCTCAAACGAGAAAAGAGGCTAAGAGGTTGTTCCTACCTGTTTCCTCTACCGGTTTTATTTTCATTGTACTGTGCTTGCAAGATTGATCCACATCCACCTCTACCCATTTAGCAAAAACAAGCCTGAGGTGCCAGATTCCACCTGGGAACTGCCTGTCCCTGTGAGGGGGGGCAAGATGCTGCCTCCCCTCACAGCTTTAGGGGTGAAGTTACCTTGTTTTCACTAGTTAACACTGTTGTTTCACTCCACCGGGCTGAGCCAAAGACAGCCCAAGGCTGTCTGTGAGGCTTCTGCCTCAGCTGAAACCACCCCTTTCCCTCTCCCAAACCTCTGCCAGACGAGAGGCATCCACATTTATTCCACCAAACAGGGCACTGGCCCCATAGGAGCCTGATTGCTCTGTCAGCAGCCCCGGGACAGGCTGCCCAGCCAGGATTAGGACGGACAGACCCCCCCTTCCCTCGGGAACCTGCTGCCCCAGGTGCTGCCCGGGGATTGACCCCAGCGCTCCCTCCTTCCCGGCGCAGGGGAGATCATCCCCTGCCCACCTGCCTCAGCACAGGCAGCACCGACACGGCGGGGAAACAGCTCGTGCCGCGGGCACAACCCGAGTTTATAGGTTTATATTGAATACCAAAAACTCCCTCTTTTTTTTTATTAAAGGCGGAGGAGCAGAGGACGCGGCAGGGTCCTGGTTAGTACACG